ATGATAAACCTGACATTTTAAAAGAGTTGTATGTAGATAAAAAGAAGGATGAACTAATACCTGATGTGGAAATGGCGAATAAGACGCATGCAATCAAGAAAGAGGAAATAGAGAAAGATGGAGGAATTAAGAAGGAAAAGAGGACAAGAATTAGACAAGCGACAGCTAGGGAAAAGGAGGTCGATCCAAGAGGGAGGGAGGAAGGAGAAGTAAGAGAGAAGGTAAAAAATATACCAGATGTTGAATCAGGTAGAACAAAGGTAGAAAAGGAAAGCATGAACAGGAAGGAAGGCGGAGAAATTGGAAAAAATGAAGAAAACGAAGAAAAAAATGAAGCCGAGGTACAAAAACCAGGCGAAGGCGAAATGTTAAAAGAGAAAAGTGGAATGAAAGCTGTAGTGGAGGATAAAGAACGGAAAATACCAAATGAAGAAAAGGCGGCCAGCCACACAGAAGGGCAAGGCGATGCGCCAGAGAGGGAAGCCAAAGGGACACGGGAAATGGACGAAGGAAGGAGAGGAACTAGAGGAAGAAGAGTCTTAACACCTCGACAGAAATTCAGCGAGAAAAGGTCAAGGCACGAGAAGGGAGACTTTTCTTTGACCGACGATGCCCAAGTCAGAATAACAGACCCAGCTGCTTCACCAGGACCAGTTGTCAAAGAAGCAGCTGATGGGAATGCAGTTTCTGCTAAAGATAACAGGCCTTCTGGAGGGAAGCCAGTTGTCGGGGACATGAAACGCGACAATAAAAACAGTGCTTCACCTGTTCATTTGGAAGAAGCATGTACTGAATCTGAGGTGCAGATTTCCACCCGAATTGCAGACAAACCAGCGGCCATGAGAGAAGATGGGGCGGAAACCAATGCAGTAGTACCCATTGCTAACTTTTCTGAACCAGAGGCAGAGACAAAGAGTGATGGCCTAGAAATGAACTCCCACCCACAGGGGGAACTAGAGTGCGAAGCGAAAATAAAGGACAAAGAAGGGGAAGAAACAAAAGTAGAACTAGGAGTAGAACAAGAAGTTCAGTCGCTAATGGGAAGTGAAGGAATGGGGAAACAAGAACCAGAATTTGAAGAAAGTTCAGAAGTTAATGTTTCTACCAAGGAAGAGGATGAGAATGAAAATGATGATATGACACAGTTTAAAACTAATAAAGACGCGGAGAGAGAGGTAGAAAATATACAAGAGGAGGACACAAAGAAAAAGACAATAAACGAGGATCATAGTGATGAAGGTGAGGCAAAAATGAAAGCTACAAAAGCAAAAATGGAAGTAGAGACTATTGATGAATTAGAAAAGAGCGAATCATGCATGGCAGACGAGGACGACGGAGAGCAGTTGAAAATAACAGGAAAAGAAGAAGCCAGAGATATTTTGGATGGCAAAGAAGTGACAGAAGAGACTTTAGCAGACCCTGAGTTAACTGACAACGAAGATTGGGAAGAAAGGTCGGAAACAACCTCAAACAGGAAGGAAGAGGGCGACTTGCTGCCACTCAACCTGACAGAGGGGTCAAGGGACACCTTTGCCGAGGACGACGACGAGTGTATCGTGATCACTTACCGGCCGCCCCAGAAACCGGTGCAAAGGGGAAGGCCAAGAGAGGGCGCGGGCGTGAGAGGAGAAGCGGATGGCGCTGACCGGAGCCCCAGCGCCTCGCGGCGAACAGACGATCAGGGGGATGACGGGAAAGATGTTAGTAGCAAAGAGGGGGAAGAGGCAAAGAAAAAGAAAACGCGAAGATCAAAGAGGAAAAAAGTGAAAGATGGTATTGATGCAAACAAGAAAGAAGGTGAAGAGACGCATGTTACTGATATAGAAAATGTGAGTCTGAAGGGCGAAGATAAGAAGAAGAAACGGCCGAGGCAAAGAAAGAATAAAGCTGGGAAAGAGAAAGTACCGCAAACAGAAATAAAAGAAGCAAGCAAAATGGGAGTTCAAGAAGGAGAAAGTAGAGCAGCTGATCAAGAATCAAAGTCTTCAGCACATCCTCCAACTCGACGATGGGCGGAGGAAGTGGAAGAGGAGGGCCTTGATGAGTGGGGTGAAGGGAAGAAGGGAGAGGTGAATGAAGGGAAAGACAATAGAGGTGAAAAACGCGCGGGCGACGCAAGTCGAGTCGCTGAGAGGAATCCTCTGCCAGAGGTCAAGGCAGGAGAAGCAGGCGCAACCTTGGCCGTGGAGGAGGACTTCTTGACAGAGTCTGATGCCCTCGAGACGGAGGAGGACACGTCATACTATGAGGAAGAGGGAGAAGGATCGAGCCGTTACGAGATGGAGAGTGAGGAAGGAGGAGAAGGAGGCGGGGAACAGAATGCGTTTGAGGAATACCTTCTGCTCCGGGAGGACGAAGGCATCGAGGAGATGCAAACCGTCGACCGCATCTTCAGACAGGTCTTTGAGGACTACAACGACGGCGAGTTTCTTGGGGAAGGGGACGTGTCCGAAGGAGAGTGCAATGACTCCCTCCACTTCCTAGGGAGTGGGAGGGGAAGGGAAGAAGAAGCACAAGGGAAAAGCAAAACTTTTACCGGTGTCCGCGTTGAGGGCGATGGTTGTCCTCCTCCTCCGCCTCCATCTCTCACTCCTCCCCCTGCCTCACCACCCCCCCCCTCCGCTCCGCACTCCCCGGTCACCCGTCGAAAGGGTCATGGAGCGGAGCTGAAGGTTTCTGGCCCGAAAAAGAAAGGAGTCGCTTCCTCAGAACTCGAAGTCGAGTCCAAGAATGATCTCGATGTCCAGTCCAGCCGCACTTCGGTTCCGCCAGGGGCTGAGGTGATGCAAGGTCAGTACCCGAGACCCTGCCTCGACCTGACCTGACCTGACCTCACCAGCTGACCGTGTTGTGGCTGCCCGTAATAACACCTTCCTGGAGTGTGTGCTTTGTATTTTACTAAAGAGGTAGGACTAACAATGTATAAATTAATACTCGCGTTGCCCAACCAACACCTCTGTGTCTCGGCCTAAAACGACCTTCTCTTGAGGGATGACGAGCCTACTCTCTCGCAAGACGACAAAACTGACCGTGACCTTTGCTAGGTGCTGATCTTGAAGTAATACACTTAGACTGTGAAACTATTAGGTTAGAAGAGCTTATGCTGGTATGTGTATTGGCATGCTGATGTTAAATAGCCCCTTAGGTATTTAGGATAAAGGCTAGATTTAGATCAACAGTTTATTATGGCTGTTGACATAGCTGTTTTAGTCACAGTAGATGTTGCTGGAAGCATATTCAGTGAGGGTGTGAAATGATGAAATGACGGGACAGACATAGTTACGGACATTTCTGAATAGATAGTAGGGAGGAAGTAGCTGGGTGATAATATTGGTAGCAATAATAATGGCAAACATTGTGATAAATGTAAAGATGACCACTATAAGACGAAGCGGATAAGAAAACAGGCAATAAGGGATAAACAAGAAGAAAGGGTCAGAAGGAAGAAGAATATTGGAGTAAAAACAAAAGAACATACAGGGGGGAAATACAAAAAAAAAAAAGAAAAAAGAAAAAAAGACAAAAGAAGCGAAAAGGGCGCGAATGGGAGAAACGGAAAGACCTTGCCGTAGGCCACTGCCTTCGCCACCACTCCGTGCTTTTCGCCAGCCCTGCGGAGCTTCCATTCCACATTGCCCCAGCCGCCCATGAGCACGCCTCTCTGCCTCTCTCCCCCTGCTAACAAACCCTTCCTTCCCTCTTTCTCTCTCTGCTGACAACCCTCTACAACTCCCTGCTAACAAAATCTCCTCGCCTGCAACTCCCTCTTACGACCCGCCAAACAGCCAGTCCCTCCCACCCCCGCTAGTCGGCTTTGCCTTCCATTCCCCACTAACATCTCCCCCTCTCACTCCTACTAGCAACTCCCCTCTCACTCCCCTCCCCGATCCCCACCCATCTCCCCTCTCCCAGCTAACGAGACCCCCCTCCCACCCTCAGCTACCAAAGTTCCCCCTCTCGCTCCCTGCTAACAAGGCCCCCTCCCCTTCCAACTAACAAACCCCTCTCACAGCTAACCAAGCACCCTCCCCCTTCCTCCATCCCAACTAACGAAGGGTTTCACTCTCTCCCCACCCAACTAACAACTCTCCCCCCGTCTCTGCCACCTAACAAAACCCCCTCCCCACCTCACTAACAACCTCTCCCTCCCCCACTAACAACCCCCTCCTCTCTCCCTACCTAACCCCCCGTCTCCCAACTAACAATCTTTCCCCTCTCCCCACGTAACAACCCCCGTCTCTCCCACCACCAACCCTCCCCTCCCCCTTCCCCGGCCTGACTCACACCCCCCTCACCCTCCCCCCTTCCCCGGCCTGACTCTCCCCCTCCCCCCTCCCCTGGCCTCTCACCCCCTCACCCTCCCCCCTTCCCCGGCCTGACTCACACCCCCCTCACCCCCCCCTTCCCCGGCCTGACTCTCCACCCCTCACCCCCTCCTTGGCCCTCTCACCCCTCCCTCCCCCCTCTCCCCGTTCCCCGGCCTCTCACCCCCTCACCTCCCTCCCCTCCTTCCCCTCTCCCCCACCTTCCCCTTCTCCGGCCTCTCCCCCCTCCCCCTCCCCTCCCCCTCCCCTCCCTTCACCCGGCCTGACTCTCACCCCCTCACCTCCCCACCTGTCCCCCTCCCTCACCCCTCCCCCCCCCCCCTGACTCTGACCCCCCCCTCCCCCTCCCCCCGGCCTGACTCTCACCCCCTCTCCCTCCTCCCACCCTCCCTCCCCTCCCACCCCTCTCACCCCCTCCCCCTCCCCCTCCCCTCCCCCTTCCCTCACCTCCTCCCCCTCCCCCCGGCCTGACTCTCACCCCCCACCTCCTCCCTCCCCTTCCTCACCTCCCTCCCCCCCCCTTCCCTCCCTCCCTCCCCCCCCCCTGTCTCACCCCCTCACCTCCCTCCCTCCCCCTCTCCCTCACCTCCCCCTCCCCCCTCCCCCCCTTCCTCACTCCCCCTCACCTCCCCCTCCCCCGGCCTGACTCTCACCCCCCTCACCCCCCTCCGGCAGAGAAGTTGAAGCGCTCGAGCATGCGGACGCAGGCCACGCAGACCGACGCCGGCGCGGGGAGGAAGTCGCTGCCCACGCTGGCGCTGAGTCCCCGCAGCGAAAAGGTGGGACGGGGGGAGCGCGGGCGTTCCGATCAGCTGTTTTCGCCGTCGCTGTTTGTTGGTTGTGAGAGTGGATGTAGTCTTAGGCGATTTGGACTTTTTTTTCTTTTCTTTTTCTTTTTATTTTAGTTTTGTGTGTGTGTGTTTGTGTGTGTTTTAATTGGTTTTGTTGTTATTATCACCGGTGTTGTTTTAGATATTTGTTATTAGAATTGCTTTATCATGTTACTTGGATTACATAATGTAATGATAATAATGTATTATTAATAATGATACTTTTATTCACAATACAAATACTATTAATAATTATCTTGATATAAAAAAATATATTTTTAACGATCATAATGGTGATAATAATGAAATTTGTTTTGTTTTAATTGTAATAATATTGATGTTGAATATGACAATGATAATAAAGATGCTAATATAAATTTTAGTTAAAAATAATGTAAATAATGAGGAAAAAGTAATCTTAAGGATAATATTGATATGGCTAATGACGATGAATATAGTGATACTACTAATGATAAAATAATGAATGTCTACAACAATAACTGATATCAATAATGATGATCTTGATGATAATGTTAATAATGGTGATAATGATGAGAATGGAATTACAATTGTAAAGAAAATTTTAGATAATAATAAAAATAATACTAATGTTAATAATTCAGATATTAATGTAATATAATGATAATAATGATAGTAATGATAATGATAATAATAACAGTAATGATAATGATAATAATAGTAATAATAATAATGATGATAATGATAATCATGATAATCATGATCATAATAATAATAATAATATAATAATAATTAATAATAAAATAATAAAAATAATAATAATAATAATAATAATAATAATAATAATGATAATAATAGTAATAATAATAATGATAATAATAATAATAATAATGATAATAATAATAATAATAATAATAATAATAATAATAATAATAATAATAATAATAATGATAATAACAAAATGATGATAATGATAATGGTTATAATAATAATAATGGTATTCATAATAATGATGATAATGATGATGATATGATAATAATATGATGAATGATAATGATAATAATGATGATGATGATGGTGATGATATTAATTATCATTTTTATAACAACAGTGATAATAATGACAATGATAGTAATGAAATGATAAAAAAGGTAATTGTAATGAACGATATTGATCATAACACTAACAATGATAAAGATGATAATAATAATGATAATAATTATGAATGATGATAAAAAACAATAATAATAACACTGCTACTACTATTACTATTATCATTACAGATAATGATAATTATATCAATAATGATAATGATGAAATAATTAATGATAATAGCAATAATAATAATAATAATAATAATAATAATAATAATAATAATAATAATAATAATAATAATAATAGTAATAGTAATAATTACTGATAGGTATGATAATCATGTTAATTTGCATCACATGAAAATGATGATAATGGTAATAATGGTATTAGTAATAGTAACTAGTATTCACAACCATGAAAATATTGATAAATGTAATGATGGTGATAATGATAATAATGTTAATGATACTACTACTAATACAACTAATGATGATAATGGTAATGGTAATAATGATAATAATAACAAACGTAACGAAGCACTCAGAGAGCGCATACCTCCGCCAAGGTAATAGGGTCACTGATTCTCACTTGGAGGATTACATCAAAATCACCTCAACCTCAAGCACACGGACGGCGTTCGTGTTTCCCTCGCGATGCTCATGAATCATTTTAAAAATCCCTGAATCCGGAATTTAATGGCATCTAAATTGGGCTCAGACGCACCTCTGTTTATAACTTTTCGCGTTATCCTGTTAACTAACTTACCAAGAGACTAATTAACGCTATCAAAACCATAACCTTGGCGGATGTAATAATAATGGCGATAGTAATGATGACGATGATGATGGTTAATAATATTGGTAAGTGATACATGATAGAATTATGATAGACGAAGGTGATCATTATTTGAGAAGTTATAATGATAATGATATCATCAATACTAATATTGCTAATATTAATTTTGATACTACTACTGCTACTAATAATAAGGATGGTAGTAATAGTAATGATGGACTAGTACAGTAAATAACAAAAATGGGTGGAACATGATGCTAATATTAACAATAACAATAATGATAATAGGTAAGATTGTAATGGTTATCTATTTTATGATAATTATAATGTCATAATTACGTGAACAGTTTAAATATTTTCGTTTTCCTTTTCAACGATATGGCATAAATAGTAATAAACTTTATCCTGTTTTAATTAAGTATCAAGTATTAGTCAAATAGTGTTTTTCATCGCATTTTCATGTGGAGCTAGTTAGTGGCACTTTTGATTTATATTTTCAACGACTTTAGCTGTCTTTATATAGATATAGTGAGAGATACAGCGAAATATTTGGAGCAGTGTCTTTGCATGAAGCATATATTTCAAGAACAATATTAATACAAACACAGATCCATTCATATTTACATACACTGGACACACACACACACACACACACGCATATGTGTGCACTGACGTTGAGCACAAGCCGTGTCCTGATTTGGCGTGTCTGCAGGCTGAGATGGTGTCCCAAGGCGCGCAGACCAACGGCAACGGCGTCCGCCGGAAGCTGATCAAGAGCTTCTCGGAGGCGGCGCACTACGAAGGTCTTGAGTACGAGATCTACGACCTTGACGACTTTATCGAGCCTCCCCTGCCCTCCAGAGCCGCGTCGGAGGGGCCTCCGCCTTGCCCTCCGAGGTTTTCCCCTTACGACGAGATTCCCCTCGAGGACGGCCCGGCGCCGCCTCCGCCGCTCAAGTTCCGACAGAATTACCACGAGATCTTCATTGATTCGTCGCCGAGGAAGCCGCGCCGGAGACTGCAGAAGACGCTGTCGGAGGGCGAGATTCTTTCCGAGCGGCGGAGGGCCCTAAGCATGGCCTCGGGCTACCTGGAGGTGGACATCAATGGCTTTAGTGGTAACGAGGAAGAGGTTATTGAACCCCAGTGTGTCGACGAATGTTCCCGCGATCTCTCTCGCAGCAGAATCTTCAGTCATCCTTCGCTCCTGGAGGAAGAGGAAGAGGAATTCCACGAGAATATGTTCCACAAGGAGATCCTACCAACCTCCCTCTCCCCTGAGAGGAAGATGTCCCAAGTGTCCACCGACTCCGACCTAAAGACCTTTGACCCCAATGAGTTCCGGACGGAGGAGCACCTCCTGAGTCAGCTGGCCGCTCTGTCCTCCGACTCCCTTGGGGAGAGTGGAACCTCCATGTTTGAGAGTGGTGGCATCCCCGAGGGCCTGCTCATGAGGGAAGGCTCGCCCTTACCCTTTACTGGCACCTCCAATGACCTTGTGAGTCCAGTTGAGTTCGGTGACCACTTTGAGGAGTCCATGAGCGAAAGTCAGGTTACGGTGGTCCAGCGGGCCTTGGCAGCCTCGTCACAGGTCATCACTTCGGATTCGGAGAACGGAAGCTTCCATCTGACTGACCACTCCTCTGCAGCCACCACGCCCTCCACTCGCCACAAGAGCCTCCCTGCTTCCGGCAGCTTCGAGGAGGACATGGACGATGAGCTCCCTCGGCTGCGCATGTCAGGCAAGGTCCACAGCATTACCACTCTTTCATCTATTGAGGACGAGCCAACAAGCATCAGTGAAAACGTCATATCAGAGGGTTCCCATGACGTGGTCTCCACTAGCACCACATCAAGTGAAGTGGACAAGGCCATTGCCAGCTCCACTGACAGTGACTTCACTTCCATCCGAAGTGGAGACTCCATGACAATAAAGTCGGAGGCGTTGGAGGAAGGCGAATTTGAAGGAGACATTGTGATCGAAGAGAATATAATGGCGCGCTTAGTACAGGGAATGAGAGCTGGGGATATTCCACACCAATTCATTATCAAATCCTCGGATTTTCGAGATGATCTGAGGAAGCTTGCATCACCCGAGTCAGATTCCTCCAGCAGTCATTTCACTGAACAAGAAACGTCAAGGAGCCCGGTATCAGGCACAACCAATACTATTACCTCCAAGTCTGACCTGTCACGCACAGACTCGCACCAGACAGATCAGTCAGAAACCTCCGAAGACTACATTACTGCCACAGAAAACAGCATGAATGGCCAGGAAGCTCGAAGGAGCTATTACTATGAGGAAAGGCATGTGTCCTCTCCTCCAGAGATGGATGACATCTATGAGGATGAAGCTTTAACGCCCAAAATACTTAGCCCTGAAGCCAGCGAGGTGTTAGGAGATCTACTTGAGACACAAGAAATTAGTGATATCACTGAAGGCCTAAGTGTTACTAGTGACTTTGAGACGGCTCAGGACCTCACATCTCCTGATGGCGACACCACCACCTCAGCCAGCTATTATATTGAGCATTCTATAGGTGAAGAATCAGAAAAGATCTTCCCTGAAGTCAAAACGAAGCCAGAGGTACCTCCAAAGCCATCATTTTTACCTAAACCAGAAATACCACCAAAACCTGAGAGGCTCTCTCCAGCGCGAGAGACCTCTGCTCAGGCAGAAGAGCCAGACGAAGAGACTCCTCAAGATGAAACACCTCCACAATTTCCAGAAATTCAAGTCGAAATCACAGTGAAAAGGAGAGAAAAGCCTGTTGAGGAGAGCAAGACAGGAGCAATCAAAAAGAGATACTCTGGTGGTGGTAAAGTAGCTAAGGACGACAATAGAAGATATTCAAAGTATTTTGAAGATAATGAGCAAGGGGAGTTGTCAGAAGTAAAGGGACAGAACCAGCAATCTTGGTCAGAAGAAGAGAGAGAAAAGGCAAAACAGACAATGAAACTGGACTTTCCTCCAGGTGTTACAATGTTTGGAGAGGCTCCAAACTGGCCTGTGCCTGACAACCTCAAGACTGGGGAAGTAGAAAAGAAACTAAAAGTGTTTGATAAACCCAAGAAGTCTGTAAAAATCGACCTTGCCAGTGTTGAAGACCTCCAAGCCAAGGTGAAACCCGAAAGTCCTCAGGCAAAAGATAAAGTAAGTGAAACAAAACAAGTTCCTGCAAAATATGACAAAGCTAAACGTAAATCTGATGAAGCTACTCCACAAGGAATGGTAAGGAGTCCTGCAATGCATGAAGGATTTAGACTAGAAGACTGGACACCTATTCGGACTCCAGGAACTCCCGAAAGAGCATTGGATTTTGATACATCTGATGAATCCTGCTCTGATCTACCTCGGCATCCACCAAAAGCTCGGAGTCCGGGGAAAAGGGCAAAAGAAGCCAGCGGAAAGAAATTTGGAAGCCCAGGCGCTGACAGCGACCTCACAGCAAAGCAGGCAAGTGAAAAACAAAGTCCAGGGAAAACGATAGAGACCTCTAAAGATCATGAAGAAATAAGAGGAAGCCCACCCAAGCAATTGCGTCAAAGTCCAGGGAAGACAGAAACAAAGCAGCCAAGTCCAGTTCGCGAAACTGTCCCCAGCAGAACCGAAATCTCTCGAATGCATTCCCAGGAAGTGCACTTGCGCCACCCTCCTGCCGGCGTCCACACATCGGGAAGTGATCCGAAGAAAAGGCTTAGCGAAATATCCATCGGCTCCACACCTGAAGTTACAGATGTTCAAAAGCGACACTCCGCTGAAATCCTCACACGGAATGTAGAGAGTCAGGACCACCTGAAGCCCAAAGGACCTGTAACAGGCTACCTAAGGGCAGGCAGTCAGAGTCCCACCTCAAGAGAGAGACCTCTACAGCTGCCAGAAAACAAGCTCCTCACTATCGCTCCCCTGAAGGATGCGAGGAAGAGTGCAGAGTCCTTGAGATCGCTGAGTCCAGGGTCTGACAACGTGTTTCTAAGTGGCAGCAGAGAACAACTAGAAGAAGACTCCAGGGGGAGCCTGTGTGTGCAGTGCGGAGAGAGACCAGCGTCCAGGGAGGGTACCCTCAGACCCTCGCCTCCTGCAGGACACACGATCACTGTGGAGCGCAGACTGTCTGACAGGGAGCCTTCTCGAGTCAGAGGAGTCAGTCATCGTGCCAAGTCCGAAGAGAGGAACTCGTTCTCGAGGGACTGGGGGTAAGCCACGAGGTCCCAGTGGGCTTTGAGTGCAGGCATGCACGAGGACAATGCACCTGTTAATAATGAAGATAATCATTCTGTTGCTCTAGATAATATTGATGGTAGTGTTGATACTATGCTGATAATAATCATTTGGACAATATATTTGATTATACAGACAACAATGGCACTATCTTGAATAGTAGTTTAGAAAATGTAAATGATAATGATGATGGTATAGATAAATAGGTGATAATGAAACTGATAATGATAATGACGATAATAATTGCCAGGTGTAGTAAACGTGTTCACTAGGAGAACAATAAGAATAATGATAATAGTAATAAAGTAAATAACAGAGAATATTAATGATTACAATAACCACTATCATTATATGAATATCGTATTCATTATCAATATCACTATTATTATTATCATCAACATTATCATTATGAATCTAGACGATCTGGAGACATAATTAAATCTTCTTGCCTTCCCCCCCCTCCCCCCGCTCTCCGCCAGGGTCACGCCCATCAGCCTGGAAGTGGGAGACGCGCCCAGACACGACAGCGACGACGACGAGATGGGCGTGTACATGGACGCCTACAGAGCCTTCTCGTGGGTGTACGTCGCGCCCCATGAGGAAGCCAAGGTGTGGGTTTGTCTGAATCCGTTTGGGTTACTCTGTGGGTGCAGTTGCTTGTTTGGGTGTGTGTTTGTGTGGGAGTTAGTGTTTGTTTGTACGTCTGTGTGTGTGTGTATGGACTTGTATGTATGCGATAGTGGCTACGTGTGTGTATAGTTGTATTTGCCGTAATGTATGTGCATGAGTAACTGGAAATCACCTCAGCAATTTAGACTCTTCCAGCGAATATCAATGATCAAACGTAAATATATAAAATCGATGATGATGACTACTGGAAATGATAAAGATAACGAGCCCAGCACTTCCAGCAATTGCAATAATACGGAGAGAAAGGAAATCAACAACCTGACTTCCCCCTCCCCCCCCCCCCCCAGGTCTGGCAGCGCGACGAAGGACGGCCAACATCCGGGTCTCCAGACCTGAGGATCCCGGGCTTCGAGGGCGCCGCCGACCCGCCGCTCAAGCAGGAGGACGAGACCCAGGCCGAGAGCGAGGCGACGGAAGCAGTGGAGGAAAGGGGTAGGTCTTTTTTTCTTTGTTTCTTTCATTTGTGGGAGCCAGAAAAAGGCTTTTCTTTGTGAAACAAGAAAAAGAGAAAACATTCATTTGTAATATAGAATTAGATTCTCCAGAAAGCCAAACCATTCTGATATGACTGTCTAAAGAAGCGAATGAACTGACTCGAAGCGTCATGAGGCTCATGCGTGTTTACAGTATTTTATTTATGTCTATTTAACGTTTTAAACAAGGGAGGCGAATGCCTAAGGGAAGGCCGAGAACTGCAGTGCTCCGGGTTGAAGTATCTGGCCGAGCAAGTGATGGAGCATTCCGATTTGCTAACAAAGCAAAGGAAACGGAGCGTGGTAAGAGTAAATGAGTTAAGTAAAAACAAACTCGATAGTAGTACTTGACCTTTGGAGAGCAACAATTTCACAAGGACTCGTATGCTTCCGTGAAAGACCCCCAGTTAAACAGCTTATTTTCCTTGTTCTTCACCCAAAGATATTTCAGAATGCAGTGCCAAAAGTGCAGCTGTTGTTTTCTTTATGGGATGAAAATAATATGAAGCAACAAGGTTTATTCAGCCATTAGCGTTCCAGCAGAGTGGTTCCTGTTTCAGTGACCTTGAATGTTTTGTTGAACTGATCAGTTATTTCTGAAGTCCTACCCCTGCGATGTCTAAATAAAGGTATAGCACCGAGTTACAAGTCCAAGTTCAAAATAGTAAATCGTTCTTGTTATGATCATTACTTTTATACGGATTACAATGCGCATCAGCCTTTACTTGCTATCCACTGAAAAGGTGTTTGGAAAGCTTTTATTTCGAGATAAACAATGAATGCTTTTGTTCACACTCCTGCAGTGGGGGACGAAATCGATGCTGTTACTAAAGTTACAGTTCAGTTGTTCTTTACTGTCAAGGGACAATATAATACTTTTCACGATGGAAAAGAAATTACCAAAGACTTTTTAGACAGGTTTCGCGTTGCCGAAGATTTTTTTTAAGTCACTATTGGTAAAATGTCTCGGTTTTCCTTCCTTCGTGATGGAATGATTGCATTGGCACCATCGTGGCGACGGCTGTCATGAGTCTCGTTCTGGGAAGGAGATCAAAGCCACGGATGCGGCGGAGGTTCCAAAAGCCTCGTTTTATATTTTCCCCGGAAAGAACGTGTATCAAAACAGCTCTTCATGTTATTTTGCTGAATGAAGGTTGTTGCGTTAAGAATATATTTTTTCTCTCTCTCTCTCGCTCTCTCGCTTTCTCGCACACGCACACAGACACGTTTATATATATATATATATATATATATATATATATATATATATATATATATATATATATATTATATATATATATATATATATATATATATATATATATATATATATATATAATATAATATATATATATATATATATATATATATATATATATATATATATATACACATACATACATACATGTGTGTGTGTGTGTGTGTGTGTGTGTGTGTGTGTGTGTGTGTGTGTGTGTGTGTGTGTGTGTGTGTGTGTGTGTGTGTGCGCCTATATGTATTATATATATATATATATATATAATATATATATATATATATATATATATATATATAGAAAGAGAGAGAGAGAGAGAGAGAGAGAGACAGACAGACAGACAGACAGACAGACAGAGAGAGTCTGCGTACGTGTCTGTGTGTGTGTGCGCGCGCGCGAGAGAGAGAGAGAGAGAGAGAGAGAGAGAAATAGATATATAGATACACAACATTTACTTGTAATTGGCCACGCTACACTGCGGACCAAATTTTCTTCCCCAGAAATAAGATCCACCGCCATGTCCTTATATCTATTTTTTTTTTTTTTTTTTTTTTTTTGTGCCAGCCAGATTATACCGAAAAGAGAATCGCGTTGATTTTGCAGTCGAGTCGCGCGTGGTGCCGAAAACCTATTTTTAAGCCCGTCCGAGGACCATTCCCGACCACCTGCGGAAAGTCCCAGAAAAGACGGACGGCCGGACTCGCGTCACAGTCCTTTCAATAAGGATTTATATCTGGCTTTCCCAGTGCTGTTCCTGTATTAAAATGGTGAACTTTCAGGGCATTAGATTGTTTTTAGAACGGAAATGAAAGCTTTCATTTGTTTCGATGATGCATTGTTAGGAATTACGTTATGTCGAAAAAAGAGGATAAAAAGACAGAGACTAAGTTACTTATATAGTCAAGGAGGGAAAAAATCGAACGTAAAGTAATATTCTTTATTAAAAGTAAATACCAGTAGAGCTGGGTTATTTTAATGCAGGACACAATGTTGTGAATTTCCTGTTTTCTGTTGGCCAGAGTATATTTACATGTCTAACTTTGCTATGAAAAAACGAACAACTTCTGCTAGTCTTTTTCATTATGTATATTACTCCTGGAAATAAATCTATCTCACGTATATAATGTATTTAAGGACTGATGTGTCGCAATCACTTTATGATTATAATAAGTCTTATAGACGCACTCTAGTTCCACAGTAACACAATCTCCGCCATCTCATGGTCACAAAATCACTGCTTCTTGACCGACACAACATTTACTATTCCACATCACGTCTACAACCACACAAGCACTGTTGAGTCACACCGATCCCTCACAGCCATCTTCAACCTCCTTTAACTGACCCCTACAAGCCCCCCGCAACCACCCAACACTCCTGCAACCACTCAGAATCACCCCATATCCCTCGCAGCCACCCAGAACCCCTGCCACGACCCCAATGCCCCTGCAACTCTCCTGCAGCCACCCAGAACCCCTGCCACGACCCAATGTCCCTGCAACTCTCCGCAGCCACCCAGAACCCCTGCCACGACCCCAATGCCCCTGCAACTCTCCCGCAGCCACCAGAACCCCTGCCACGTCCCAATGCCCCCTGCAACTCTCCTGCAGCCACCCAGAACCCCTGCCACGACCCCATTGCCCCTGCAACTCTCCCGCAGCCACCCAGAACCCCTGCCACGACTGCCCCTGCAACTCTCCTGCAGCCACCCAGAACCCCTGCCACGACCTGCCCCTGCAACTCTCCTGCAGCCACCCAGAACCCCTGCCACGACCCAATGCCCCTGCAACTCTCCCGCAGCCACCCAGAACCCTGCACGACCCAAATGCCCCTGCAACTCTCCTGCAGCCACCCAGAACCCTGCCACGACCCAATGCCCCTGCAACTCTCCTGCAGCCACCCAGAACCCCTGCCACGACCCCAATGCCCCTGCAACTCTCCTGCAGCCACCCAGAACCCCTGCCACGACCCCAATGCCCCTGCAACTCTCCTGCAGCCACCCAGAACCCCCTGCCACGACCCCAATGCCCCTGCAACTCTCCTGCAGCCACCCAGAACCCCTGCCACGACCCCCAATGCCCCTGCAACTCTCCCCGCAGCCACCAGAACCTGCCACGACCCCCAATGCCCCTGCAACTCTCCTGCAGCCACCCCAGAACCCCTGCGACCCCAATGCCCCTGCAACTCTCCTGAACCCCTGCCAACGACCCCAATGCCCCTGCAACTGCAGCTGCCACGTGCCCTGCACTCTCCTGCAGCCACCCAGAACCTGCCCCTGCAGCAGACCCAGAACCCCTGCCACGTGCCGCGCATGCGGAGCTTAGCGCTCTTTCACCAATGCCCCTGCAACTCTCCTGCAGCCACCCAGAACCTTTGCAGCTCGCAATGCCACCACGCTCACCCGCTCCCGTTCTGCCAGGGCGCCGCGGATCGACCGAGTCCACCGCCAGCGAGCAGGAGTTCCGGCGGAAGTACCAGGCCATCACCCACCGCATGGTGCACCGGAAGGCGTCGGTGGAGATGTACAAGCGCCTCATCCAGGCCGCCTTCCGTGAGTAGTGCTGCGTGCTGTACGTGCTGCCGTACTTCTTGTTGCCATACGGTTGTTTACCTTTCTTGTTGCGTGAGGTCGTGTATGGCACTCGTTGCCAAGTCTGTGCCATGCCTTTTGTTGCCATGGGGTTGCGTTCTGTATTCGGTGCCAAGTCTGTGACGCACTTGTTGCCATGGGTTATGCATTGTATCTTTTACCAAGTCTGTACCACAAGTGTTTCCATGGGGTTGTGGACCGTATTTCCTCTTACCATATGGCTATGTACCAAACTTATTATTACCGCAAAGAGAGTACCGTCCTTACCATCATTAACTATGCTGTGTATCGTACTTTTTATCACTGATGCTAGATACGTTAGAAATTGACATTATTTCTTTTTACATTATGTTGATTTTTTGTTATTGTTGCCATCCTTACTTTTTATTACTTTATTATTATTGTTGCTGTTAGTATGATTGTTGTTGTTGTTATCATTATTATTATCATCAATAATCACCATCACTATTATCATTATTTTTTGATTGTTGTTATTATGATAATGATGATGATAATGATAGCAACTATGATAATAATAATGATATTGATGATAATTGTTGTTATTATTATTACTTTTGTTGTTAATATTACCATCATTCTTATTGTTCATATTCCCATCAATATTATAATTGTATTTATTATCATTACTGTTTTCGTTATTATTATCAGCATCATCATTATCTATTATTATCATCATTGTTATGATTACAATTATTATTACTATTATTATTATTATTTGTTGTTTTATTTGTTGTTGTTATTATTACTGTT